CCATATTAGGAATGCCATTTTGAATGGTACACCCTTTGTCCATATCCATTTATATATCCGATTTGGGTCCTCCTTGTGCCTGATATAATTCCATGCTGATTTGACAGTAAAGGCTCCCGAATTGTCTAACATCCAACATGGTTTATCATCCTCAATTCTACCTTGAGGGGGTTTAATGTGTCCTAGAATATGGTCTGCAAATTCTATTGGTAGTATCTCTTTTACAACATCCTCATCCCATTCCCCATCATTAGTAAGGTCCTCTATTGTCGCATATCTATCATCCCATTCAAAGTTATCTCTGGTGATTGTATAGAGATCTCCCAATCCTGTCCAGTTGTCGTGCCATAAAAATGATGATCCTCTCGTTAGTTGCCACAAGATTTGATGTTCCACTAGCTCTCTTGCCTGCAACATTTTCTTCCAAACCTGAGAACCTCCACCTCCCACTTTCCATATTACCTGATTTGGATGATTTCTCTTGCAATATTTATTTTGCATGTAATCACTCCAGAGTCTCTTTTTGGTTTGAAAATTCCACCATAGTTTGCAAAAGAGGTCCATAGAGATATCATGCATTAATCGAAATCCCAATCCACCTTCTTCCTCATGTAAACATAAATTGTTCCACCTACTCCAGTGCCAGCCTCTCCCTCCAATGCAGCTACTCCAAAAAAAATTGCCATCATTCTCTGTATTTGGTTTAATACAGTACTAGGAGGGTTTATTACGGATAATCAGTGAATGTGGGTACTCTAAAGCACATGTTTTATTAGAATCGCCCTTCCTCCGTATGATAGTAATTTTCCCTTCCAACCTTAGATCTTTGCCCCTATTCTTTGAATCAACGGTTGGTAGTACGCTATTTGTTTCCTTTTGTAAAAAATAGGACAACCTAGGTAATTCAAAGGAAATTCCTTCCTTAGTATTCCTGTTGCTACTTCTGCAACCACAGTTTCCCCTCCAGATACCTTGTGATGAAGTTATATTGCACTTTTCTCTTTATTCACTTTCTGTCCTGATAACTCTTCATATTTCCTAAGAGTCTGACTGATCATATTCAGTGTTCCTACCTTTGCCTTGCACATGATAATCATGTCATCCGCAAAGGCCATATGGTTTATCTTGCTGCTTCCCCTTGGCATACCAAATCTCTTAAATTCCTTCTTCTGCATAATAGCATTTAGAGATCTTGACATTACTTCCGCTGCCAGAATAAAAAGAGTCGGGGATAGTGGGTCCCTCTGTTTGAGACATCTAGTTGACTTAAAGAATCCCTTTGGTTGTCCATTCAACATGATCGAATACCAATTATAGCTAACCAATCTATATACCATGTTAATGATTCTATCCCCAAATCCCAGACGTCTTAATACCCTGGTAAGAAAAAGCCACTTTACCCTGTCGTATGCTTTTATCATATCAAGCTTAATGACCATATTTGGGATTTATCTCTTTTCCCTATCTCAGCAATAATTTCCTGAACCAACAATACGTTTTTCGCTATACTCCTTCCTTTAACAAATCCTGCTTGCTCCGGAGATATAATTCCGGGAAGTACTGTTTTGATTCTTTCATGTACTATCCTCGAAAAAATCTTGTTCACAAAGTTGCTCAATGAAATTGGTCTAAGGTCTGAAAATGTACTGATATTTATCTTCTTAGGAATAAGAACCAGATTTGTGTGCGTGATGTATCTAGGAAGTTCATCTCCACATACAAAAGCCTTAACCATATTGTGAATGTCCTCCCCTATAATCTCCCAGGTCCTTTGGTAGAAGGCACCTGTCATTTCGTCTGGTCCTCCCGCACTGCTTTTATTTAGTCCCATTACTACCCTTAGCTTCTTCTTTCGTTGGCATGGCATGCATCTCCTCATTCATTTCATTGGTGATTACCTCCAGAGGCTCCTCTAATATCCCAAAATCCTCTCTAGCTTCTTCTTGTTTTGTGAATTGCTTTATGTAAAAGTCCTCTGCAGCCTTTGCTATATCAGACTGTTGCTGTAGCCACTCACCTTCATCATTTTGAATTCTATTCACTCTCAACCTATTTCTTCACCCCTTTACAATAGCGTGAAAGAATTTTGTATTTCTTTCGCCTTCTTTAAACCACTCCATACCCGCTTTTTGTTTCCAAAATTCTTCCTCCCTATTGAGTTGTTTCAATAAGTTTACCTGAGCTCGATGCAATTTTTCTCTATTCGCAGTTGTTGGGGAAATTTCAAACTGCGCTTCATGTACCTTTATAACTTCCTCAAGCGTGATGATTTCCTGAAATATATTGCCAAAGGTCTCCTTGCTCCATTGGGTTAAAGCCCCTTTTCACCCTTTTAAGCTTATGATGAAACAAGATAAATGGATCTCCTTCAAAATATGCCCACCAGTTATTCTGCACCATCTCCATAAAAGATGCCTGCTTGAGCCAAAAGTTCAAAAATCGAAATGGTTTAATCACCTCCTCCCTGCTGGATTTTAAAGTAACTGATAAAGGTGCATGATTAGACCCACTTCTCACTAGGTGCTCGACTTCTAGAACTGGGAAAACATCATGAACTTTATCATTAGTTAGTATCCTATCCAACCTTTTGAAAATACACCCCTCATCGGTCCTGCCATTTCACCATGTATATTTTCTATCGTTAAATCCCCTATTCTCCAAGTTGCACACGTTTAAGCAGTGATTGAAATCCCTGACTTCCACATCTGTGACGTTTCTTCCCCTCAATTTCTCACTTTCATTGGTTATAACATTAAAATCTCCCCTATTACCCACAAAATGTTGACTGTAGTGGCTAAGTGGGCTATCGATTCCCACAGATTTAATCTCTCCCCTTGAGTACACTTTACATATATCACCGATATCATTACATCAATACCCATTCCACAACTATGTACTTTCAGAGTAAGCCTTTGATCTTCATCTCCAATAATATCATATTTCATGGCCTCATCTAAAAATACCCATATCTTCCCATTAGCATTTACCACCGCATATTTCATTCCTAACCTCCTTTTATACTCTTCCACACCATGGCTATCTTCAAAAGGCTCCATTAATCCCACAAAGTAATAATGTTGTCTTTTATGCATCTGAATAAGTCTAGTAAATGCCTTTTGGGTATTTACCGACCTGATATTCCATATAAGAGCTTTCATTGATACTTAGTATTTTTGACAATCGTTCTCTTTGAGTCCCTGATTGAGGCTTGATTCCCTATAGTATCCTTCACACTTCGAGTCTTCTGTTTAGTATGTGTACCCTTGAGTTTGCTTATTTGTTTAGGTGATAGGTTCCCTTCTACTGCCACTTTATTGATAATTGTTGTTAAGTCTCCTTTATCCATACTGACCTCAGTCTCTATCCTACCCGTATAAGCATCATTTTGAACATCCAAGGGTAATACTTCATCATTACCCGTTTCATATACCACTATCGCCCCATTGTTTTTCTCATTTTCTACTTCCTCATTTATACGTTGACATTCCTCCCCTTGATTATCTGGTTCTTTTTGGGTCAGGCTTTGTACCTGTTCATTTTCCATGTTTTTTTTCTGTTGCACATTATCCGTCACCTCTATTGGACCATGATTTTCTTCCTCTTTTTGTTGATCTTTCTTGTCATGAAAAGCCTTGAATACCCATGCCTTAGTACTCTATGTTATTGTCTTTTTTTTTCATCTTTTTCCTCATTTTCGCCCTCCTCTTTCAATGCTTCAAAAAAGTTTTTATTGTGGTATTCTATTTCCCCTTCAATGCGTCCAGCTTTATCTCTCTTGTACTTATTTCTTCTACTCACAATCCATTCTTGTCTACTTTGTTTGTTGCCAACCACCTTTCCACTTGTCAATGTTCGTCTTTGATCAGCCTCAGTGCCCACTTCATTCACCCTTTCTTCACTCTTCTGGTCCTCTCCTTCTCGATTGTCATACAATTCCGGGTGAATTGTCCAACAATTGTGTTCATCATACCCTTGTAGACAACACTCCTTACAATATTTTGGCATATGATCATATTGCAACTGTATCCACTTGTATTTCACATGCCCCGTACTATCATCCTCCTCAATTATTTTCACTCGTTGGGGAAGCTTCGCAATCAGATCCACCTCCACTTTGACTCTTGCACAACTTGGTCTGGTTTGGTTCTTTGTCGCCATATCCACTGTTAGAGGTTTCCCTACCGCATTAGCTATCGAGAAAATTGCCTCCTTGGAAAAAAAATTTGGCGGTAGATCTGGGAAAGAGATCCATGCAATGCCAATAGTAGTTTCGACATCTGGCTCAAACCATGGGTCCTATTTCAGGGTTCGCATCTGCCAGTATTTGTCCTTCACCTTGATATAATAAGTCGCTGTCGATATTAAACGTACATAGTCCTCCATTGTAGTCAGCCTAATTAGGATATGTCTCGTGTCTAAAACTCCTATAGTGCATTCACTTTTGATACCGCAGTGTCCTGGTAAGGTTTTTCTCAGTTCCTGGATCTCTGGCTTTCCATAAGAGAATTTGCCAATAATTGCGTACTGCAAATTCTCTTGGGCAATGAGTGTTTTGATTTCTGAAGTTTTCCACGTAACGCTAGGTTCTCCATGAATGATGATGATAGGTTTAGGAGGAACGTAACATTGGAGATTTGAGGGGTTATGGGTTTTGGTTTTAAGATATTTGCGTATAGGGATTTTGGTTCTATGATGGTTGGTTGTGTTCCTATATTTCCTTTCATTGGAAGAGGTGGGAATTCCTCCGGTGGGATGTCCCCACTGGTGGTGGCTTTGGCCATGCCGGCCGTCGCAATAAGGTTAGTAAGATATTAGGTTTTTGGGTTGAGAGCGTTATTTTATTTATGATAAACAAAAGGTTTGTTTATTGAATGAGGAAGAGGTGACAAGGGGCGAAAGGGTAAATTGAGCAATACATTAAGGACTAAGTAGTAATAAAACTGTGGAGGCGAAACCCTAGTGATAAATAAATAGATATAATATAAAAATAAACTAGTACACTCAAAATCAGCTCTCATCCTCCTTGAAGAAAATCAAAGCTGCGGGCGGCTACGTGTTCTTGTTCTTCATCAAATCGAAAGTATGGCGTATGCAGCAATGAAGCCGACAAAACCAGGGCTGGAGGAGCCCCAGGAGCAGATTCACAAGATTAGGATCACTCTTTCTTCCAAAAACGTTAAGAATCTTGAGAAAGGTTTCGCTCTTTTAACTCCCAAGTCTTTTTCAGGGTTTAGGATCGACTATTTAGGATCATGGTTCTCGGAACTCAAGATCTTGTTGTTTCAGAAATGTTTAATGCAGTTTCTAGCTCATGTTTTAATGCTTATGGTTTTTTCTGGGAATGTCTTTTGTCTATTGAGTAAAGTAGAGCAGAGTATGCCTTTGTCTTTCAACCTTATAATAGTGAAAATCAATGGCTGGTTTGACATTAAAGGCAGAATTTTGAATGTTAGAGATGGGGATTTTAACCCATATCGGAATTGGCAATCTTTTAGTAAATTATTTAGGCTATTGCGAATACTTGAATATTGTAAATATTCTAGGAAAACTATAGGATGATTTTTACAAGGTAGTAGAAATTTGAGGCAGACACAGCGAGAGCAATGAAGATATTTTGTTTATAGTGATCAAAAAGTATGCAGAAAGATTTTTGACCCGACTTTAGGTGTTACATGACTGGGGCTTTTTATGGGTTTTTAGAATATAGTCATATAGGCTATCTAGTTGAGACAGAAGCTTAATAATGTGGTCATTTGTGATTTTTATAACACTGTTAGTGAGTGGATTTTATTCGTAATTTACATCAATAACTGACTTGGTACTGTTTTTGTATGTAGTGTGTGCGGATTTGGTCCGTGGTGCTAAGGACAAGAGGCTCAAGGTAAAGGGACCTGTGCGAATGCCCACAAAGGTTCTTAACATTACCACTAGGAAGTCTCCCTGTGGAGAAGGTACTATTGCTTTTTATCTATTCTGAGCTTGTTTTTGTGATTGCATGATATGTCTATGCTCAACTATTTCATTTTTTTGTTTGAATTACTTAGTGTTTTGGCTTAATTTGTTCTTAGTCCGTTTTTTGAAGCTTAACATGGTTGTACTTCTTTGAACCTCTTTTGCGTGTTTAATGGTTTGCTATACTCTTTTTGAATGAATTACCGTCAGTAAAGTACCCCTTTGTTTAATTCAGAGCATTTATTAATTCGAAAGTGCCTTTGTGGATGACCATTAAGGTTCCTCACATTACCACTGCCAAGTCTCCCTGTACAGAGGTACTATCACATGTATTTTTTTCATGTTTGAATTGCTCCGGTGTTTTCTTGGGGTTTTATTGATTCTTGGTCCAAATTTCTGAAGCTTACTATGTTGAAGTTGGTTTCACACAAACATAGTATTGTGTGTGCCAATGTATTAACATAGATACTTTAAAATTAGCGCATGATTAGTTGGAAGGACATTGTCTCAATTGAACCTATTGGTGGAGATGTATGTGAATCCAAGTGACTTCTTATGTTCATCTTCTTTGTTGAGTTAAAAAATATTTCCTTCCTGATATTTTTGTTGAGTCCTGTTTGGTCAAACAACAAGAATTCTCTAATTGGAACAGTTATAAATCTGATGCAAACTTTCTTAGATGTCACTTGGCTCAACTTGTTTGTCTACGGCAGTAGTACTAACTATTTCATCTTATTGACAGGCACTAATACATGGGACAGGTTTGAGCTGCGGGTTCACAAGCGTGTGATTGACCTTTTTAGCTCCCCAGATGTTGTCAAGCAGATCACCTCAATCACTATCGAACCTGGTGTTGAGGTTGAGGTCACCATTGCTGATTCTTAGAATCTTAATTGTTTTCATTAGGTTGTTGAATTACCCGTTTATCTGTTTAAGTACATTAGTTGTTTGGAATTTCTTTTGTGGTCATCTTAATTTTGGGGTTAATGTTTGCAGACGAAGTGTAGTAGAGGTTTTCTTTTGTTCCAACTACAGTTTTGCAGTTAAAAGCAGATACTATTTGATATTCAGAAGAGAATGTGTGTTTGTTAATTGACAATTGACCGCAAGTATTTATTGTTTTTCTAGACAATATTTGCTGAGATTAACCAAAAACAATAAATCGGTATACTATTGAGTAAATCATTTCTATTTTACCCTTAAAAATAGAGTACTCTATTCTCCTCCTCTAATTCACTTTTTGATTAAATCAATATTATTTTTATTATATTGTTATTGAAGTTTTTATTATTTGTAATTATTTTTTAATGTAATATAACATCTAAAAAAATACATTACTGACATGTTACTACTTCCACTCGAATTAATAATTTTTTCTTAAAAATTGTCACCTTAAATCTGTAATTTAAAATTATTTTAATATTATTTATATTATACTATATGACTATTAGTTAATTCTTTAATATTTGTAGTTATTTAATAAGTAACATAACATTTAAACACATTATTGATAATGGGTAAGTATACTACTTTAGTTTAAAATGGAATAGGAGAAGTAAAACTACTACACGAAATAATTAGATACAAGATAAAATTGTTATTTAAATAATTTTTCGCTATGCATAAAAAAGTAAGGACAAAAAATTGCTCATTTTGAACTTCGTAATGCATTAATAGATCATTTATGGAAGCAACATGATAGTATTGAAAGTTGAATGTTATGAAAAATTTAAAATGAATTTTTTGATAATGTAATATTTATTATGTAATTATATTTCTCAATGATTTCACTTTTATTTGAATTGTTCGTTAATATGTATTAAATATAATATTTGTTGCAATTTATGTTATTTAGAAATTTAGAATAAAATATAATTTTATATTAAATGAATAATTTGAAAAGAATAAAATTTTATAAATATATGAAGATTATACAAATTATTAGTGTGCTGCATGTGAATATCAAACTATGTAATACACTATTTTAAAAATAATATCAATATTATTAAATAAAAAAATAAAAATAGAATGATAAAGTATAAGTTCCTTTGAATAATAATGTAAAATTTCTTTTGATTACTACTGAAAGTTGTCAAATCAATATCCGAAAAACACCATAATTATTTATAATATAAACTAGATATACATAAAGTGATTTGACACTTCTCTATGGCGCCAATTAAATTTATCTTTTTCCTTTTTTTATTTGAGTTTTTTCTCATTTTAAAATTAATTGTAATATGTAAAAATTTAAAAAGTCACTCTTAAGATCTCTTAGTTACATCTCTTAAATATACTTTTTCTTCCCTCCCATATAGTGCATTACTTAGTTATTATTGTATTGTTGGAGTTCTTACTTTTAATATAATATAAATAAATATTCATATAAAATATAGAAGATATACTAAAATGAATGTTTTTGGCTGGAATATTATATTAATTTAACATTCATGTTAGGGAGTGTCTAATTCCATTGAACTTTGACATTCTCAATGTGTGTAAATCACATTTGAGTTTGAAAGAATTTAAACAACATTTGATACAAGATTTGTGTACCTTGATTGTTGCAGCAGAATGAAATTCACGAACTGAATGATTTGTTCCAAATCCTTCTTTGAATCACTAGGAAACAAAGATAGTGTTTCACAAACTAAATGTTCTTTATGTTGTGTATCTTTAATCTAAGAAGATTTTATTATTCTCTTTTGAGTTTTTGTTGTTCTTCTTTCTTTTTCTGTTAAGAGCGTAAAACATCTATTTAAATAAGGATTTGTTTATGTTGGAACAATTACATTAACTATTCCTTCTCTTATTTTAAATTAATACTTATCCCTTTTACAGACAACAAGTTCGGATCGGGTCGGTCCACATGGGCGATCCACGATCCAAAACTTACATCTCCCACTTCGCACATTGTGGACAAAACCCAAGCCAACATAACATAAACTAGACACACAATTCATATGACAAATAGTTTGTGCGACCTATGAGCATCAAGAGCTTACCCTTAAGGTTTTACAAGCCCCACATAGGAATCCAATCACATGTAGAAGGAATTCACTACTTATATGAGAATACTATTACTCACAATACCCCAGACTTCATTCACCACTTCAGTAGTTACTTATTCGATCCCTCATCCTCGTAAAGAGGTTAACTAGAGTTCATGTTTAACTTTATACACACAATTACATTCAATATCAATATGGTTAGTGTAGTAGCCGGCTTGTGTATATAAGTTTATTATTCAATTAATTGTTTTTCCTTTCTACTCGAATCTATCTGTTCCTATTCTACTGCTTTTCTAGACATGCGTTGCATTGCAGAATCGTTCATGCCTATTAGTAACATGCTAAAGTAGCAACATCGATTGAACATTAAGAAACAACAAAAGGTCAAAAGGTATTTCATTGGAAAGTCATTTTAACTTTTTGGGGTCTTACACAATGAAGAAGCCGGGAACATTCTTTCATTGACCCATTAATCGCTTGACACACGTGGCATGAAACACATGCTATGATGTTTTCACCTTATATTGGTGTATGTGTCTCATTCTTTCGATTATCTAACATCGTACATACTTTGATCTAAACACCTCCAAGTGTTTAACCCTAGTTTCTCTCATCAGTGATCCTCAAATTCATTTTCTTAGAGAAACTTTTGCCTGGCTCATTGTCACGACCCGAGTCTACATCCTGGACGTGGCCGGCACTCAAGAACCATTGCTAGTCCCCAAGCGAACCCTCATCCTGGCTGACTACAAGCGGAAGACTAACTTAAGCATGCAAAAACTTAAAACTGAAATAAAATTCAATAAACTCAACTTTGTAAAACATTAACTCAAATGAACAACTTAGAATAAAAATAATATATTCAACTCGCCATAAAATAGGCAACTTAAGTCTTTAAAACATTTAATAAAATAAATGATACAAAATTCTCAACTATACTGACTATCTATGAAGCCTCTAACTGATACAGACGGAAGTCGGGACAAGACCCACGACATCCTAACAACTGATATAACTGAAAGGTAAATGAAATCCTCCGGAAGCAAGGAGGCTCACCAAAGCTAACTCGAACTCTCGGATGTATCAACAAAGTTCCTGTTGATGATCCTGAATACCTGTGTCTGCATCATGAGAAGATGCAGTCCAAATGGCTCAGTACGTGGAATGTACGAGCATGTAAGGGGAATTCTAAAACATAAACATAAGCTTGAAACTTGATAAAAATGAAACATACTTATCTCTTCTCAAACTTACTCAACTCAAGGAATACTAAAGGATAAGATACTCAACTCAGAGATTAGATACTCAACTCAAAAATATGATATTCGACTCTGGGTACTCAACTAAATATAAAGCAACAATACACATACAATATATGGAAAACTTTAATAAACAGAAAAAAACAACTTAGTTCGTTAAAGAAAATGCAATAACAAACTCAACTTTACTTATATAATAAAGTAATATAGTTTCTGTGGGAGTTTCTCTAACCGACAACTATCGGTTAAGAGCTATAGTGATGATACAACACTTTACCTCACACTGCCAAGGACCATCCTATACCTTGCCATCAGTATAGGACCTAACTTAACTTAGTGGATCCACTAGTCTATGAGAAAAGGATTCATCTAAAAAGTATGACCCTTTTCTACCTATGATGGCTACATGGTTTTCATGGAGACTTGAGTTAATATGAAACTCGCATCCCCACATCGGTGCTCAATAATACTCTTAAAATATACTTAGCTCATCTATTTTTAAAACAATTTCTTCTCTTATTTGAGATAGTTACTCAAACTTAGCTTAAAAGCTCTCTTGGAATCGATGTTCCCTTTTCTTGCTCAAAACTCTTTTGGAAATCTCAGTTTCCTCTCATCTTAAATGTGAAAACATTTACTCTTGGGAATACTTAGTTCCCATATATCATTTTAAAGAAAATGAACTTTACTCTTACTCTTTACTCAACTTCAAAGCTTGTCTTAAAACAAAGTTTAAACATTTGTAAAAGATTTCTTAAAATATGGTTCATGCTGAATGATGGACATGAACGACTCAATGCAAGGTTTTCAATAACCATAGATAGAACTCAATTCTTGGAACTCAAGAACTGCAATGATACTACTCATTGTAAGAATACTCAACTCAAAGGGTTCATGCGGAATTATGAGCATGAACTACTCAACTCAAGGACTCAAAGATACTTCTCATCTCAAGATTGTTCGACTTATAAGGTTCATGCAGAGTTATGGGTATGAACAATTTAACTCAAGGACTTCATGGGTAACATGTAATAGTCCCATGATTAAAAATATAATCTCAAAGGGGATTGGGAACTCAATACTCAAGACTTAGAAGTTAAAAGTATTACCCCTCTCAATGATACTCAATTTATGGAGTCCATGCGGAATTTATGGGCATGAACGACTCGACTAGAAGGTCTACAACCTACATGGAACTCATGTATACAACACTTCTCATTCTCTTACTTACTACCTCAAGACTTAGTTCAAATCGATGGTTGATCTCAAATGATTCACAATTGAACTCAATGGCTTTCTTGAACTCTACTTTTAACTCTCTCTTGAATGTGAATTTATGAATTCAAAAGTTATGGTTCACGATATGAAAGATCTCATGATGACAAAGTAGACTCATGAGTACATTCTCCTCATCCTCACACTCACTTGCTCGAGTCTTGAAACAAGTTACTAGAAGTTGTAGAAGACTCCACAAAAAGACTCAAATGGACTTTCTTAGAATGTTCGAAAGAACTCTCAAAACTTAACTCTTAGCTCTACCTTGAATTAGAATTATGAATTCAAGTTTATGATTATGTTATGAATGATTTCTAGGTGTTTAGAAGTAGCTTAGAGTAGTTAGAATCGAAAAGGAGTGAAGGTGCACTTTAAACGAACTCAAACGGGGAAACCGATGACAAACTAGATGGAGAAGGCAACCCTGGCGCTATGGGTGGCGCGGGGTGCCAAACCCTAAACTTCAGAGGAGGGTTTGGGGCTCTCTGGATGGCGCATCGCACCAGGCCCCAACCCAAAAAATCTGACGAATTTTCCTTGCTCGTTT